TAGCGGAATAGGCTCTCAGCCCACCTGAACGAAAGGATAAAATTTAATACGGTAAGCGTGTGGGAACATATAACTACAGTCTATGTTTACAGTCTACACAACACATGTATAGTGATTCGATTACGAATTTGAGTATCGAATTCATTATATGGATATGTTTGAAATAAAATTTTTCAAAACAAGATTTACCTGGAAGGGTGATTAATAACCCATGTTACACGAAAAACATAACATGAGATTATGACTTTTACATTGCAGTTGTGTTAACGGTATTGGTGAGATGGTCAATCGGTAGCCTAATGTTTATCAATGGATAATGCTAGTCAACCATTAAACGTACTGTACATTGTTCTGACAGGAAATTCTTCCTTATGATCATTGAGATTCGTGAAATAATTGTGTTTTTAAAATGTTATAGTTTATATTCTTTTAATTTAATTGATTGGCTTTCATAACTTGTTGTTGTACTACGTTTTTCAGCAGGCATAAACAATTTTATGCTTCAAATGTTTGATTTATGAAATAAAAATAAACTTAAGATTTGCTTTATTGATGCAGAATTAAACGGGTTGAACGCGCTTATATTATGCGTCATCAATTATTTTTAAAACGCGGTTGATCTTTCTTCCACTCTCTGTCAACAGGCAGCACCGTATTGCGTCGCCCGATTGCCGAATCAGATGATCAAGTTGGGATGGCAGATACGGATTTTGAAGTATTAAACTTGCTGTTGAAGGTGATGGTCGTTTTTTTCTACGAAAATAATTATTAATTCAGACGATATTTCAAATTCTCAATACTGCCACTTAATTTTGATAGATTTATTTCCTTCGGCAGGGGTTAGGCTTCACTTAGGCTAGGCCATCGACCCTTTTTTGTGTTTGTAGGTCAAGTAAAACAGGAGTGAGTACGCTGTACTTCTTGAGGTATTATTGTTTTTTTAAGGAAGTGATCTCTTGTCTAATCAGTCTAGGCCTAGGCCTACATTTAATATTGTGCTTAAAACTGGGAAGTTATAGAAATGTGCTGTGCTAAATTTTCTTCATGTTATTTTCTTTAAGTAGCCCCTTTTAAATACTAAATAGAAATTTAAGGACTAGGACTACTGTAGGTTTGCCTATTTGGAGAAAAACTAGGCTGGTAGGCCTAACTAAACCGACCCTAGCTAGGCTAGCTTGAGAGAGCAGCTCAGTTGGCTAAATTGGTGGTAATACATACATACATACATACCATGTCCTACTCCCACACGATTTTACCTGCCTGCACCAACAGAAATAGTGATTAGTGTATATCTCTCTTGAAAATGCTTTAAGAAATTGTTTATTTCTTTGACGAATGTTTTTGAAAATAGGAAACTCATGACAAAACAAATTCTTCATATTTGTTCATTGTATCGTACTTACTGTTTAACATCAACTTCTGTGTCTTAGCACGTAATGAAACAACAATCCACATATGCACAGCTAATGTAAAAGCAACCGATAACAACAGTTTGATCATAAAACTAATGTTAAAAGACGGCGATTGACATATAAATCAATTACTGTAGTATAGTGCTCATCTATACAAGAGGAAATTATTATACATAAATTAGATTAATGCATTCAAAAATTTTTTTCATGCATTAATATAACCTATTGTATAATAATTTCTATTATAAGTCAATTGTGACATCATCACTGCAACTCCCATCATCAGTGCACGGTTTGCTTGATCTTTTTTAGGTTTGTGTGCAAAAGCCAATTCAATCGCCATATTGCGCACTGAGACATGAATTCTAAGCTAGTGTTTTTACACCTAGAACTATGGCGCATGCCTGTGTAAAGAGAGGGCAAACACCGGTAATTGTAAAAATGACATTCTTAAAACAAGGTATATTAGAACCTGAAGAAAATCACTTCAAATATGATTACTGTATTCTCTCAAATGCTTGAAGAAATTTTTATTTTTCGATGAATGTCTGTCAATATAGTAAACTCATGACAAGTTCTTCAAACACAATTAAATATTATTCATCGTACTGCTTTGTAAACATGTACATACCATTTCAACTGCACTGCTGAAACATCATGGCCTGAAAGAAATACATGGTGTTTTTTTTCAAGCCTATTGTAGAGTACATTTGGTTGTACAGTATCAACATGTGGGCTCGTAAAATCCACAGTTAACTTGAAAAAAATTAAAAAATTAAAGGCAAGCCAGAATATCTAAAGTACTGTTACATCATGACATTTATTTTTATTTGTTAAGTTAATTAAATTAGTAAGCACTTTAAAAATTCATTCACTAGCATTTTTAAGTAAAATCATTTTTTGAGTTTTCATCATCATCATCATCATCATCATCATCATCATCATCATCATCATCATTTATTTACTTCAGCATTTTCCCTCTTACGAAGGGTTACTGACTTTCACGCCATGATGACACGCCCATGTTCCACTTTTTCCTATCTTGAGCATCCTCCTCATTTAGACCAACTTACAGCTTTCTTTCTTCACCATCTTTCCATGTAAGCTTTGGTCTTCCCCTTCCTCTTAATACCATCCACTTCCAGATCCCATGCTTTTTCACAGGTTCATCATATTCCCTTTTGAGCACATGACCCACCACTTATCTTTTCCACTTCTGCAATAGTTTCTTCCAGACCCAACCTATCCAGGAGCTCCCTTGTAGTAGCACTCTTTCTATCGGACAATTTGACACCACACATCTTCTGAATCATGGTTCTTTCAGTTCTCCTCAAGATTCCTTCTTCTACTGACTTCACATTCCATGTACAGTATTTTCGTCGTCCTTTTATGAAATCAATGGATCGTAAAATACATTTTACTGAATTTCTTTTCAGTTGCTCTGGTTTTGTTTAAATATAAACAATTTTCTCTGTATGTAATTTAATAGATTGTATTATTTAGGGATGTAAAGAATACAATGTTCTCTTTTTTATACAAATTTACTTTCACTTTGCTTACTTTATTTACTTGTTCTACATTTAGTAGGCCTACAAACAAGTGCTGGGAACCAAGAAGGCCAAGGCCTGTAATTAGGCTCCCACACTAATCTTAATTATTTAAATTAAACTTAAGTAATGAAAATAATAATAATAATAATAATAATAATAATAATAATAATAATAATTAATAATAAAAAAAAATCAGAAATTAGTCAAGAACAGGCAAAACAATGCACAGAACAAACAAGCAAGCTAAGCCGGGAAGAACTGGACAAATTACACAGAGGAATGGAATGAGGAGCTCTTTGGACCATGTTGTCTTGAAACATATCTATCATTATCATTATTATTATTATTATTATTATTATTATTATTATTATTATTATTATTGTTATTGTTATTATTATCATAACATACTTAATTATCATTATTACTATCATTATCATTATTATTATTGTTATTATTATTATTATTATTATTATTATTATTAATTTACACACAGCAATATTTTTCAATAATTTGATTTTTTAACTTAGTTTTAAATTGGTTGAGGTGGGTAGCATATTTAACTGTTTTAGGCAAGGAGTTAGCAATGGTACAGTAATTTGTTGTTTTTGTAAAGATAAATCCAAAACTCTACTCAACTTGCCTTAATTTTAAATTTCTCATTTTTGTTTGAATTTGCTGAAAAATTCCCTACAGTAAAATTAGTATAGTTCTTATCAAAGTATCCAATCCAAAGCAGAATCATTACTCTTATCAGTTTATGCTAAAAATATCTTCTTTTTTTTTTTTGATTAGCTATCTTAATTTACAGCATCTGCTAAGAGAGCTACTAACTTATTCCCTTGATGGCCAATGCATGATAATTTGTTTTTGTTACTAGGCTAACTCAAAAGAGTTTGTGGTCCAGTTATGTCAAGAGGCATATACGTACTACAATGCGCTAAGTTATCCTGACAAGGTAATCCTCAACACAGCGAATGTACTTGGAGTCGACCATGCTGATAGCGTGCAGGTAATCATATTTTACCCAATACTGTATAAGTAATGTTTCTGTCTGAACTGAGTGATGTGTTTTCAGAAGTCAAGTGCACTAGGAGACTATTATACCATATTCTCACATATGAGGCGATCAACATGTAACACAAACCTTGAGTTTCAGAAGATTTTCAAATGATTTTTGAATATAGGATGTATCAGACCCCCCCCCATTTCACCGTCAGAATTCCTGCTTTTGCTGCTCTTTATGGTTCAACAAATTCGTATTTCCCGCCATTTGAAATTGCGTTCGTTTGTACTAACAGTTAATAGATTCACTTTAGTAGTAAATTTGCATATCATCGATGATCCGCATATATTAAAGACGAACGTGATTTAAATAAAAATGTTTAAAGTGTTGCCTGTTTAAGACAATTCCCTGTTTGACCGATCCTGATTTGCTATTTAAAGCCTCATCTTATAATGCAAGAATATAGTAATTTGGTAAGCTCAATGCCATAAACAATGGAAATTTGTTTATCCTGAATAATACTTATTTTTTATCCCAGAAATTGTTGTTTTTTATCAATGTAAACAAACAGTACAACGTTGTCTGTAATATTTTTATTCTTGTAATATTTTTATTTCTCTCTCATCAAAACATTGAAATGTTATTGGCAATCTTTGCACTATCATGTTGTTTGAAGTTCAATTCCTAATGATTAGAAAAGCCGGATCCCAGTCATATGTTATCATTTTATTAATGTTTTTCAGTTTTTTTCCCCTTCTCAATAGCTTTTCCATTCATTAGGATGTCTGATTCAATATGCATTGTATGTGGGCTGTTCAAGTGTTGCATCNNNGAAAACAAAGATGGCGTATCGACATATCGGCCATTTTTCGGAGAAATTACTTTACAAATGTTTTTATTAATTTCTCAAATTCAACAAATTGTTGAAGGTTAGTATTTTGTGACTGGTTTATTGACTACCCAAGGATTCCAAAACCTTCATTCATTGGATTTTAGAAAATGGTTTCATATCCATTTTAAGTACTGAAGAATGTTTAGTAAGAAGAGGGTTACAGTACAAATGTCACAAATATACATATATTCTATATTATAGACGGGTTATAGACATTACATTAATGTGCGAAATGGACCCCAAATGCGTTAGCCTCACGCCGAATGCGTGGGACTTGGTGGAGAGGTGAATACACAACCTCCTTTGGGGGAGGAACAACAGAAAGTGAGACACCTAAGTGAGTGTAGCTCTCCATGACTAGACTTTATAATTCCCCTTGTGACTTCCTTTTTTGTTTTCAATTTTCAAAACGAAGAAATAAACTCACTATAGTGTACTAACTTATGCAGCACCCAAATTTGCCTACTGTCGAAATCAATTACATTTTTATCTGAAATTCATGTTTCAATATCTGTTAATTGAAACTTATGAATTATTTATTATCCAGTGGCTTTCATAGGATTTAATCAGGTACCCTATCTTTTATTCTTCAATTATTAACTCTCGCCAAAGGAGGTTATGTATTCACCGCTGTCTGTTAGCAAGATTACGCAAAAACTAATGATTGGATCATCATATTAGAATTTGTGGAATGGTACATAGTATTGTAAGAAAGTAAGCATCAGAGCACAAGTTCAAGGTCCGGGAAATTACCCAGAGCATAAAAGAAAATAATGGAAGGTCCCCATCATACATACACCGCCTGACTATTGTTCGCTATTTAAGGAACAGGGAGGAAAATAATGGATTTGCCCATCATACATAGCCTGTATATTTTTCAGTATTCATGTACAGGGTAGAGGTATGCACTCTATTGAGTGACTGCTTTTTAAACCAAAAAAAATAATTATTCTTGTATCAATTTTAGATGATTTCCATAAAAACCTCAAAGACCTACTATCAAAAATCATAGCTGAGTACTTGTAAGTATTCTTAAGCTGTATTCACACTATCAAATTATATGTGACAAACAACTGTAATATACAGTATGCCCATATTTGGGTGTAATATGACCATATTTGGGTGTATGACATCTTCATGCCTGTATTTACATAAACTGAGCCCTAGTTTACATGCTGGTAGAAATACTGGCCTTCATATGTTTTTCTCTTGGCCATGAAATGTCTCGACTAATTTAATTATCTAAGGGTCATCTTTTCAAGATGAGTACAGAACTTACCCTTCCCTCCCTCTAATACACAATAAATGATGATTGTTTTTTTGAGGTCATCATTAAATCTTTTCATAAAAGAATACATAAGCCTAACCTTTTAAAAAGAGTAGATGAGCCTTTACCTTTTAACTCTTGTGAAAATGATGAAAACAATGGATAGTCCCTGAGGGATTTTGATGTAGAGTCGAGTATGGAAAAGTCCCCTGGCATTTTTCACATAATAATATATAATACAGTTGAACTTGCCTATTAAAGATGACTTTGCCTAACTTGAAGTCGATCTTATTTTACATTCTGGATTGTTGTGTTTTCCATTAATTTAACGATTTGAAAGTCCAATTTTTTCTAAGTTGAACGATTTTTCAGTGCCATTTTGGATTCGACTTTGACAAGTTCAGCTGTATCTTCTGTATATCCATGTCATAGCTGAAACTCCCGTATGTTTCCTGTCTTGCTGTTATGTTATAATAATCAGTAAATACTTTTCTCATTTCAAATGTTGGTTTGTATCTTTTGTTATCCACTTTTGTAGACCAACTTGGCGAAAAAGTGCTGTGGATAACCACGGTAATTATTCTTTTACATCTATATTCTTTCAACCAACGAATTATGTTTTACCAACAATAATTATTTACTGTTGTTTACTATTAAGAGCATCCAGAAATGGACCATGGGCTTGAGAGCCAGTAAATATTGTTAAATGTTAAGTGGATGCTGATGACCTGTTGAGTACTGAAGAGTGTATTTTAGTGTTTTTTTTTACTCATTTTGCTACTTAAAAAGGCTCCGGATTTGGAGAAAATTTTGATGAATTTTTATAACCATTATTTTTGTCATTTTAATCAATTCTGCAATTTAGTGATAACAACAACTAATATTGAAAAACAGAAAACATAAGTAAAAATTATTGTTTAAGAAAACTTATATTTTTACCATAGTAGACAAACACCTTCAACTACTACAATTTTTATGCTTAAAAAAATAGGATCTATTGTTAGTATTTATTAACTGTTAGATATCAGCATCTTTGCAGTAGCAACAAAACATTACCGTAGCAGTGTTCTCCCAATTGAAAAAATAATACTGGTAAATTTGTTCATAAAAATTTGGCTATCTATGTGTGCAGTGAGAAGTTTATTAACTTGAAAAAACAACACCACATGCAGTCATAAGGCGTAGACTGGAATGATGGTTATCTATTGAAAGAAGACCACCATAGACTCCCTAGTCTAATTAGTGTTTTTTTTTTTTTTCTTATTTTACAAACAGATTTTTTACCAGTTAGCCAGTTATCTTTAAACTGGGAAATTGATGGCTAAAACAGCCTTGGGAATATCTGCATATGATGTCTATTAACCTAACATTGTAATTATCCATAATGTAAAAGGAATACAAATGTGGATCTGAGAATATATTAACCGATATATCATTTTCCTTTGAAGTGTCCTTACCACGATTAACCGACTTTGACTGGCGTGTTGACGTTAAGACAAGTTCAGATTCAATATCACGAATGTCCGTACCAACCTGTATCCTCAAACTGAAGGTATATCTCGCATTTCTTTCTTATTAATTGCTATCTGTCCTTTGGGACTTTGCTAATGAGATACTCTAGATGTTGGGCTAATAAATTTGAGCAATTAACATTAATTATTTGAATTGTTCTCTGTGCATATTTAAATAAGTTATTTTTTCAATTGAAATTTAGAGTAGCTGTAATAGTTGGTAAAGTGTGTCATACTCGATAACCTCAAACCATGTTTTCCTTGGATTGATTTTGGTCAAACTAGCCATGCGCCTACTGGTCACTTTGATCAAATAAAATCTTGTGCGTGAAAGTTGCGTAACATTCTCTTTGGTGGAATTACCCATAAGGCACAGCAAGTTCAACCATTTCACAAGAATTAACCAGGCTGTTTTCCCCAAGTAAAAAAATCCAAATACTAACAGACTTAAACCTTTCTATGTGCATGATAATACTGCTCACTTAGCAGAACCTCTTGCAGAATGTATTAATAATTTGACCACACATGTGCAAAATCCAAGTATCGTATCCAACTCTATTTAAATCCAAGTGCAAGCAGTGATATGATTTGACCAAGCTAGAGTTACTTTCAGTCAGAGTTGGTCCAATGAAAATGCAGCTTAAGTCTCAGCTTATGCCTTATTCCTACTATCAAGCTTACCATGGCAGAAATCTGTGATTTGCCCATATATGAGCCTGATAATTATGTCACACCCATATATGGGCATGATGGTATGTCACACCCATATATGGGCCTAATAATATGTCACCCATATATGGGCATGATGATATGTCACTCTCATATATGGACTTGATAATATGCCACAACCATACATGGGCATGACGATATGTCACACTCATATATGGGCCTAATGATATGTCACGCTCATATATGGGCATGATGATATGTCTGTATGGTTATGATAATATGTCACACCCATATATGGTCATGATAATATGTCACACCCATATATGGACATGATGGTATGTCACACCCATATATGGTCAGTATAATATGCCACACCTAAGCCTACAGTATATGTGCATGATGATATGTCATACCCATATATGGTCATGATAATATGTCACACCCATATATTTGTATGATGATATGTCACACTCATATATAGGCAGATCACATATTTTGTCAATTAAAGCTTATCTACAATAGATAAATAAAAAAATAAAAGAATTGTTAAGGGATTTGAGTATTGTTTTTGTTAAAAGGAAAAAATATCTACATCGTAATTGTAGAACACAGGAGAAGATGATTAATACTGAACATATGCTTCAGTTATGACTCATGACCTATTCTATTATCTAAAATCAGAAGATGTTATCACAATATAGCTAGCATGCAATATAATGCATCAAGATATCAGAACTTACCGTTCATTTATATGGAATAGTTGGGGTGGGAACTTTAATATAAATGATTTTCTTTTATGACATAATTTAAATTTGGTTTTCTTAATCTCTTTAAAATTGTTTTCCTTTGAAGTCTTTTTCAACGCTATCATTTCAGACACGTGAGAATGTGAGAAGCGGTTCGGAAGTCAACTGTGATTCATCCGTGGACTTAGAATTAAATAAGGAGACACTGGACACTATGCTTGATGCATTAGGAAAAATCAGAGATCAACTTGACTCAGTCGTTACAAAGAAATAGACAACGACGACATCAATACCGTTCATTCAGTTCAAGAGTTTAAATTAACTACTGTTCATTTTTCATAATCGTTTTCCTTCTGTAATTCACCAATGTGAAAATGCGTGGCGGCATAATGATCATATTTCAGCGATGCCGTAAGTAAGATGTAACCTGTGCTTGTTGATGTCAGGGATACTAAAAGTTTTACATTGAACAACAAATATTTTTGCAGCACAACATAATATATTATATGATGATAATGAATTTCATATAAAGGATGAATAGGAATGAATATATTTTAGATTATACATAAATCTATATAAGAAACAAATATTGTAATTTCTTAAAATATTGTTATTATTACTGCTACTATACTACTGCTCCAGTAATGTTATAGTCAGTGTGATGAAAGAGTGGCATATTTAGGAGTTTTAAAATTGGGGTAGGGGCTGATGGGGGGGCTTGATCATAAAATGAGGGGCACTAGCTTGCAAAATATTGTGATATGAGGTGATTTTTAGCTACTTGACCATACTTTTTTCCCTCAATTCCAGTTGGGTAGGGGAGCTGACGACTGGATGTGGTGGGGGAAGGTGTTCACATCCTGTGCTTCCTCTAGACACACCACAGCTTGAAAGTTTGAAAAAAACTGGACAATTGGTACTAAAAATATGCGGTAGTTGTTGGGACAACGGTTTAGTTATCAACCTTGAAGTGGGTTTCTTAAGCGTTGCGCTGTTCATTTTGCTTTTGTTGGCACTCTATGTTTGCCTCTCTCTACCCAAGAAGTACAAATAGGTACCATGGTAAGAAATTGAGGCAGAATGTATTTGTTTGCACAATGCAGCACAAGTAAGTGGAGATTGCACTTTATATGGATCTATTGACCAATGTTAATAACATTTCAAGAGCCTTGTTTTTCAAGCCAAAAGGGGTGGTACAGTATAAACAAAATTCTGTATTAAGTAACACAGAAAATTCTTTTCTAAATTTGCAAATTGTGTAGCAAATATGAATAGTGCCACAAATTGGCAAAAGAAGGTCTAGTAAAGTTTAAAAATTGTCTCATTTTTTAAATGTCATATGTAGAGGATAAGTCTGGAATTGTATTGTACCACGCATTAAGTTGGCCATACGCATTATGGATTGCTCCCTTAACGTGCGTTAATGTGAGGTATTTTTTCCATCTACACATTGTGTAATGTACTAAGAATACTGTATAATAAAATAACGTAAAGAGGAGTGATTTGGAAATAAAATGAAATAAAAAAAAGAAAAGTGAAAAGAAGAAACTTATATACAGTACTGCATTATAACTGTTTATTTTTCACCTGGAATCCGTAAGTTGAAAAGTCGTTCTGATTTTGAAATACATATACTTCAATGTATACACAGGACTTTTACTGACGGTCATTAAAACCTAATGACCATTATATACATTGCATTTAATTCTCTTAAAACAAACATTTACTCACCAATTATTGAGTAGCCTATTTGGTTTATTATGTCAATTTAGAAGGATTATATATATATATGTATATATATATATGTATATATATATATGTATATATATATATACATATATAAATACATATAAATATACATATATAA